AATACATACAATAGCATACCATGACAGATGCACGCCACATCATATGCGAAACCTTGCAAGTATGTATTTCTCATTAAGAAAAAGTTCTCAATTCTTCATTAGCTGATGACTGTAAAGTATAAGAATGAAAAAAAAATTTAAGCCAACTGAGCTAGCATGAGAATCAGAAAATATAAAAACTAAACTCTATTCTCCTCATTTTCTTCCACAAGAAAGGGGCTAACAATAGCCTGGTATGTCTGTCTGTCAGGAATCACTCCTTTAAGCACCATGTAGTTGTGCAATTCAATCACTTCATCTGGATTACAATTCTTAGCAGAACAGGTAATGAGCATTGTATATGTTACAACATCAGGAACCAGGCCGTGTTGAAGCATTCTCTTCATTAGTTCTTTTGCTTGTTGAATGCATCCAAACTTACAAAGAAAGTTTATCAAAGTGTTGTAAGTTACTCTGTTCACTAACCCCCCTACCTTTCTCATCTCCAAGAACAAAGCAAACGCCCCATCAATATTACCACAGCCACAATAACCATGTAAGAGAGTGTTATATGTTATGGCATCAGGTAAACCCATACTCTGTAATGAATCTACCATCTGTCTTGCAACATCCACTGACATCTCCTTGCACAATCCATTGAGAATAGAGTTATAGATCACCATGTTGGGTCCTTCCTCCACCTTTGCCATTTTGTCATAAATCTGAACAGCACTTTCTATCTGCCCTTCCTTGCAGTATCCATCAATTAAAGCACCATATGTGACCAAGTCGGGAATTAAACCATGGATAAACATGCTACCTACAAGTTGCATGGCTCCTGCTAAATTATTACTTTTACAAAGGCAGCTGATAAGAATATTGTGTGAGAATGTGTCTTCAATCAGATTCATTTCTAGAACCTGCTGATGAAAATTAAAAGCTTGCACCACATATCCATGTCTGCAAAGCCCCTTGATGATAGTAGAGTAGGTGACATTGTCTGGGCATACATGCTTGTCAATCATGTCAGCTAATACCAAAGAAGCTCCCTCTAAATCACCTTCCATGTAAAACCAATGGAGGATTGAGTTATAAACAACAGTATTAGGCATCAAGCCCCTTTCCACCATCTCATCACACAATCTTAGTGCCTCTTCTAAGCACCCTTTTTGTGCATGACCATCTATTAAGGTTCCATAGGTCCTTACATCAGGCTCAACACCTGCCTTAACCATGTCATTACAAACTTCTTCCACAAATGCAATTTTTCCTATTTTACAAAACCCATTAACGATAGAATTGTAAGTTACCGAATTCGGTGAAACAGAGTTTCTTGACATTACTCCCATCTTCCTGACAAGCTTCAAGGCAAGCTCTATGTCACCCATCCTACAAGCTCCATTTATTATCATGTTGAAAGTAACAACATTAGGCCAAATCCCACTCTTCAACATCCGATAAAATGTAGAAATTGCTTCTAGTATTCTACATTCCTTACAAAGAGCATATATAACTAAGTTAAAAGTATTCACATTCTCAATATACCTGTAAGAAACCATTTCCTTATACACATTCCAAAATCTACCAATTTCATTTAACTTCAAAAGATGACTTAAGAAATTATTCCAAGCATGAATAGTAACAAAACGACCCTCCATTCTCAACTTCATAATGACTGCATAAGCACCCTCAGTAGCCCCACACTGTGTGCAAGCTCTAACCAATGTATCAAAGACTGCTGGAAAGGAATCACACAATTCATAACTATCCTCCAAACCATCCAAAACTTCCAATGGGGTCATGCCATTTACATGTATTAAATTCTCCAATAGAGTTAGTGCTTCATCAAATCGTCTCGACTTGACCAAGACATGAATTAGAGCACAACAGGATGCCAATGAGTGTGGAAAGCCTTTCTTCTCTCCAACCCAATTGTGAAACTCCAAGGCTAACTGAGGCGAGTTTTGAAACTCGCGAACGACACGACTCACCAATGCATCTGTAAGACTTGGGGACACTTGCTCCAAGAATTTCCATCTCCTATGTCTTAAGTTAACACAGACTGCTCTGAAGACAATGTCTTCACCACTTGGGCAAGAGAATTGCTTACCTACATGCAAACCCCGGCTGAGAAGACTTGTTCTTCTGGACAAAAAAGAGCTCAAAACCATAGAAATATCAATACCCAAATCATCAAATAGTCCTTATTTCTGTAACAAATAGTTAAAACAGAGAAAACCCAGATCAGTGCAGCATCAGAAATATCTTCCTAATATTACAGGACAGCATGAAACAAAACAAGGAAAGAGACGAGTAGAAGTACTACCTTTTAAAGCTTCCTCCTCCTAAGAACAAAAACAGTGTCTTGGAGATATGACGGCTGACTGACACAGTGGAAAAAGTTGTCGAGAAATCATCGCCGAAAAACAGGTGAAGTGCTTTTCACTTTACGGTTCCCCGTCTGTATCCATTTCTCTATAATGGGCTCCAACTAGGCCGTTAAATATGTGTCGGCATTGACCTCGTGGGCCTTCCAATCGAGGGTCGTGATTAGGCTTTCGCTTGTCCAATAAGAATAACCCAAATAAACATATACCTCAGAAGTAACATAGTATCACTCATGTTCATCACCTAGAAACAGATTAAACAGGTGAAAATAAGATAACAAAAATCAAGGAGTACTCCCTTTAATCATTTCATCATATGCTTAATGTAACAGTTTGCTTCTGATCTAGACGCAATTTACCCTTCCAAAAATAATCTCTCATCCCAAAAGTATTTAACCAAACTATATGAAAAGAGATACACTATTATATACTTTCGACAGTCTGGAACTTATACATGGGGAGAATAAATAGCCCCAAGGTGCATACAGGAGGTATGCATATGATAGTCTAAAAATACTCCATCAAATTAATTATGAGTTATGACAGTTTGAATATCAAATGCAGTTGGCTTTCAAGCTTGTCTGGGGGCGACGGTGAACCCATGGTTATGTTTTAAGAGAAATGTGGGGAGAGCGATCCGTCGGGAAGGGATTGCTCAAAACATTGTCCATGTAGTACTGTGGATGGCTGGCATCCATTACCCCAGACTGCATATCTTCAGATGGCTTCCAGTGCCTTTTCCTTTGATTGATGAACCAGATGTTTATTTGCTTCTGATCCAAACCAGTAGACTAGGCAAGGGCAAGCTTTTGCGACTCTTGTTAACGAGGAGTGTTAATATGTTAAGCAAAGTTCTATATGAAAAAAATTAAGAGGCAATTATAAGATTGAATCCAGAGCAATCTTGATAACAAGTTAATGACATGTGCCAAAGCAAAAGTTTCAAGTTAGCAGTAGTCCTTGTGTATGTGATCAAGTCTTGAATCATGGTTTGTTGGCATTCTCATTAAGGAGGAAGCTTTGGTTTAGCATTTGCAGTGCAGAAATAGATACAACAATCCACTGATAAGTTGAGCAGACGTGTACTTACTGATGGTTAAGGCCATTTGTAATGTCTACTCTACCAATCCAGCAACTGTTGCCTGGCTTCCTTAGGCAGCTTCCCTTTCTTCCTCTTCTACATAAACTCCCGCTTCGGACTGCCTAAATATCCACTGTACTTTGGCAAAAGCTGACCTTTAAGTTGTCGATCTTCTGCAAGGGGATCTATGAAATTGTTGTTCACATCAACTTCTTCCTTAGATGATCCATTCCTGTCAGCAGCTTCTCCACTAGCTGATTACAGAATGAATTGGTAAGCATCTCAAATGAAACTATATCTCCTTGTTATTACTCAAACCAGAACAGGATGGTGACATATTACTTAACTAATCAAGATTTATAGTATTCAGATTCCTGTGTCACCATAAAATTCTGTTCTCTTGTCAACAAACGAATTCATTAAAAGATTAACGCAACAATCACGGTTTATAGAAATGCTGATTAATTTATAGAAACCTAAATGGCAGAAAACGTTGGAGGGGACTCTTGACATGTGCTCAAATGGGTGAACATATGATCCAGACATGTCAAGCATGATATACGGCAGTATCTGAGAAGAACTCGTTATCATTGAACATCTTCATTACAAAAGTGGAAATTGCATATGTCTGCAGCATAAAGCATCTGACTCAACAATGACAACGACATTGGAGAAATATTAGTCTTATAGCTTAAGCTCACACACACACACACACATATATAGGTTATGTTGCTCACCAGAAAAGAACCCTCTGCTTGTGATTTAAATTACTGAATCTGTCACATAACCAATCATAAGGCCATAAAGATATCATGCATTCAAGCATGTAAGGCGAAGTTTGACCAGTGTTCTAAGAAGCACCACAAAGAGGTAATTCAACTCATAAAGAATTCTAAAGTGCCAATTCAAATTATGGTATAATTTGGACCATCGCTTCCTTTCCTCAAAGCATTAACTCTTTAGTTATAAACTCATATTCTTTTATTTTATTCATGTAAATTTTTAATTCATAATAAAAAATTAACTATCGTCATTAATAGATTGATTTTTTCTGTTCAAAAAACAATTAAAGTGACTTTTCTTTTTCATATTTTCTTTTGAAACCTATAACATGATTTTGTCACTCAATTGATCATGAGATCACATAATCATTACGGATTAAAGACTTACATGGACAAAAAAGAAAGTAAAATAACTTTTTGAAGTAGCAAAAATCGACAACTCTGATTAACAGAGTACAGCTAAAGTAAAACTAAAAGAGAACTAATTTTCTGTTTAGAAAAGAATTCAAGGGGAACAAAAAAAATCCACTTAACAGTTGATTAAGCATCCAAGGCAAGTACGACACTGTTTTCATCGATTCTACAACTCAAATGATGCCTAGATTGATTGAGTAGATAACTAATCTGGATTTGGATCTTGGTTTCCCTACTCTGCAACTCTAAGTAGAGCCTTTCTTGGATTCATGGCAGTCTTTATGTAGTCTTCCAAAGGCGGAAGAGACTGTTGTTCTTCATTGTTAGTTGCTTGTCCTCGAATAAGCTGTAAAAGCCATGAATGGATGTAATGGTAATGGTAAAGATAGAAACATATTGAGACTTGAGGGATGGAGAAGTATACCTTTGATGTCCATGACCACTCTGCTTGTTGGCAGACATAACGGATGTCCCTTCCAGACATTCTGGATATGCAAAGAGTGAGAAGCAAGAAAAGTCTTTAATGTAAATTCCAAATTCCGAATTTATTGTGGCAGGAATAGGCAAAGGAAAGGGATGCATATGAATGGCAGAAGATAAATTATGTTTGCAAAGCTTAAATGAGCATTACAAGACAACACAAGGAAGTTTAAATTCTCCTAGTAGAAAACTTTCAGATATGAAACAAAATATACATAAGGAAAAAGAGAAGCTCTTGCAACATAACTCGAGAAATGAAGCTAACAAAGTCAGACTTACTCCTCTGTGACTTGAGCAGGTTCATTTGACTCAGATTCTGTAAGGTGCTTTGCATACTGAGCTGCTATCTTCCGACAGGTTTGCTCATCAGAGAGGCCAAAGCCATTAAGTTTTTTACACACCGTTTTTGTTTATGATATCCAGCAATATTGTCCCAAGAAGAATTCTGATGTGGTGCATCAAGTCCATAAATTCTCACCCCTGTGGCCTCCAAACTAGCAATTAATTTTTTTGCAAACGGCATCTGTGAAGAATCACTTGGTTCTTTTCCTGCAGATGGCATCTGTGAAGAAATTGTAGGACTTTGTCCCAACTTTCCACTAGCTAGCTCCTTTGGATTCAAACTTCCTTGCTCTAATAACTCAACTTCCTAAAACAATTTGTACATTAATCCGTTACTTTGTGAAACATAAAAAGAATAATGCAATCTCATTCATACAACAATAGACCAACCGCTTTGTCTGAGCTTATAATGCAGCTCAAAAATCATAACAAGTATAAGCTTAAGGCAAACACTTTGAGAGGGAAGGTGGCTTGACATGTTAGAATTAACATTGAGTAGTGCAGAGCATAGGTCAGCGTGCAAAGTAGGCAGATAATAAAGGATAAAAATAGAAACGCAGAGAGACACCAACATCTACTGCCCAGAAATAGAAATTGCACATACCTCATCATCATCATAAGTTGTTCCTAGCAGCACTCCAGCTACATGCCAACCAGCTCCAGCTCCAGCCCCAAGCAAACCTTGTAAAACTATACAGCGAATAATAAGAATCCTTAAAAGAAAATGCACCCCAGCAGGACATAAGCACTCTATCTCCCCTCCATTGAGCACCAATCTCCCATCTTTTGGAGAGCACCGATGAGCTGAGATCGGTGCTCTCATTTTTTTTAATTCCTTTTAGAAATATAATAATAATTTTTTAAAATAATAAAAAAAATATTTTAATCTTTTTATAATTTTTGTAAATGGTGTTTATACTTTTGAGACGAAGTGTCTTATTGGAAAACTAACTGACCTCTGTATACTTTCGATCAAAATTTAAGAGAAGTAAGGGTATTTTACCCATTTCTATATATAGTTTTATTATTTAATTATTTCTATAACGAATTCATCATGTTTGCCATTAACATAAATATACACAAAAATTAAGACAAAAACTTTAATTTTGATATTATATAGATTTAAAATTTTTTAAAAATTATAATACAAATGTTCAATACTAATACTATAATACAAAAATGGGATAAAGTTAAAAATTTTGTTAAACTTGTTGGAATTACACAAGACCACCAAAAGGTTTTCTTTAGGATTGCAGGGCCCTCCATTGTTGGGGCATCTTGGAGCTTCTAATCCAAGATGCTTGCATTTGCTTCCCAGAAACTCTGCTCAATTATGTTACAGTACTCGGTAACTATTTTAGTTTGAGCTTTTCCAACAGAAGTGCTATTCTCCAGCATTGAGGTCTTCTCTGTCTGCATAAAAACCAAGGGACATTGTTTATAAAGCAAATGGTAAAGCATTGGGAGTTATGTGCAAAGGATTTTAATATGGCAGGAAAAGCAACCTTAACCCGGAAAACGGAAGAACCCTGCCGAAACATGAGTGGCAGCGTGTTATAGTCGATACCAAACTCTTTAAGCAGCAATTCATTCTTCTCACGTGCTTGAGTACCCTGCAAGGAAGGAGGTGGCTGAGATACCATGGAAATGACATTGCTCGCCATAGGATTTATGAATGATGAAACAACCTTTTAAGTAACTGTAAGATCATACACACATAAATATATGAATGACCTTGACATGCGAGCAATTTCAGTATGGCAAATCAAAAAACTGAACACTGACGCCATACAAGTGAGCAAGATTAAGTTATAACATAATGGTGCCAAGTTGAAACTTGAACCTGATATTAATTCCAAAACAGAGTAACATAGTGTGACCAGAAAGACACCTTCAGGCAACTTTGAGCTTCACTTTTGCACTTTCCAGACTTAACAAGACTCCAGAAACAGGTATTGTACTGATTATTGATGTGACCTACATCCGAAAACATGAAAATGATAAGTTATGACAAATGGCATTACACTAACAGCCATGACGAAAAAAGGCACATGAGAAACTTTCAACCATTATGCCCTCCTTCCCTTCATTTTACCAGGGAAATGATAAACTTTCAGCCATGACAAAGACACTTACAATCAACTTGTCTCCATGCCAGATAATCTCGAAGAATTTCAGCTGATGGATAACATACTGCCCGTCCATCAAAAGATGGAGGGTACTTCAACTCTTTCATTGGGAAGACATCTTTCCATTTCATTACGTGCATCGAAGAGAAAAAGGATACAATGGCAGAAACTATTTCACTGTCACAAGTAAAATTATCCAAATCTCAGATTGAAAGGCAACTCAGGGAAACAAAATTTAGTGCTTCTCAATCTAAACATCAGGGTAATGAGAGTTAAAAGCAATGTTTTGCATGAATTCCTTAATGAGGCAGAATAAATCTTGGACCATTACAGCCTTCCGGCTGCCAAAAGGGGACAATTTATAAACCTGGCTCGCCTTTGATAGAGCTGAGAATTCTTCTTCAAAACAAAGCTGAAAGTCAAAACAAACCAAAAATAATTTACACAAGTGCAACAAAACCAAAAACTTGTAACAAGCAGTATAAGCATTTGTATTACCTGTACTCATCACTGACTCCATAAGAGAAAATAATATCTTGAAACTCTTCTAACACAGCCACCGCACATAAATTCATAAGATCCAGAGCTTGCTTATCATTAGGCTTATTGAATTCATGAACATCAGAAAATCTACCAAAAGGCATAGAACAAGATTAAGTTTCAATGCATCCATAAATATAGTCAAACAAAATTTTATGTATCACATTTTTTTGATTGACATGGTCTCTGGATCTGTAATTTGTCCAACACAGAATGAGGATAGTTACTGAACACCTCTCACACACTTCATGGTTCCCATTCTTTGAAATGTAATGAATGCTCGACCTCATATTCTCTGTTTTAGGAGTCATACCAATTCCTTAAATATGTGATAAAGGGAGAAATAGATACTTGATCTCATACTTTAGATTGCAAAAACCTAGAATAATAAACTGCCATTCTCATATGGATGTCCCGAACAAACTAATAACTAAAATCAGACTGCATGCCACAAGCATCTCTGAGTTTTGGAAAGAAGTTAGCATTTTCAAGTGAAACCCAAACTTTACCAATGATTGAAAGCCAAGGGGAAGAATATCTAACTCAATAGAAGCAGAATTAGGAAACTAAAACAAAATAAACGCTTTACCTGTGAAAATGGCAGCCATCTATTCTAATTACAATCCAAGTAGATGGCATCAGCTTGCTGTCAAATAGAAAAGATCTGATGTAATCAGGGTTTATTTTGACACAGTCCTCAGAGAAACCTCCCAGCTCTTTAAGAAGACTTGCATGTTCGTTCCAAAAGCTTCTCCCAGTTATATTCTCCGAGCGGAAATCACTAGCCTTTCTCCGCAACCTCTTCACAGGAGTTCCATCCTTCTTGTACTTCACGACATCTTCCACCTTCACAAAGTAAGGAAGATGATATCGGTTGACAAATAGATGTCATATGTCAAAGAACACAAAGGAGAGGGAAGAAAAGGATGAAAGACCAACTCAGTTTACATACTCTCTCCTCAGGTGATATCTGTCCAACTGGAAAACTTGATACACAATTTGAGAGAAAAGAATTCACAATATTGTAAGATTTTGTTTTAATAAGCGTCATGTCTTAAGCCAGTCGCAAGCTAATAGCTACATTCTATTGATCTAGATCTCAAAATGGTATTGAAAGTTATTTGGAGTACTGTGGTTATGTACACATCCATGTTGTCTGTTTCGAGATATGTGATCATTGACCCAGATATGGCTGCAACATGCATTGGCAAGCACATGCTGATCAAGGCCAAATATCCTAGGAACTAAACGTTGAACTTTTAGAATACTTAAACCACTATAATCTATTCAAAAGAGGAATGAAACCTGCGTCTTGAAAATACAAGTTCCCTGACGAAACAATGCAAGACACTCATTGTAGTTAATACCAAACTGTTGAAAGAGAAGTTCATTTCTGTCTTGTTCTTTATGATCCTGCAGAATCAACAGATAAAACATAACAAGATTAGAGTTTTTGCATAAGAAGGCCCAACCATACAGAACATGAAAACCAAAAGAATCTCTGCATTACAAAAAGGACTATACAAATAAGAGGTGCCATGGCAGACAAATCAGAAAGATGTCTCAACAGCCAAGCTGAATGAAACAGTGCATCCGTGAAATGAATTTTTTTTAAAGAAATAAAACGAACAAGATTAAGATCAAGAACAGGAGTGTCCATAAACTAGTAAATTCCTAGCAGAGAAACATGCACAATTTACACATGTAAACCAGTAGGCACACATACAATAGGACACACACATACATGCAGCTAAGCAAATGCATATATACTTGTTAGCAGTTTAGCACCTTCAAAATTTCTTGTGCTTCCATTTCAGTCTTTCCACCTTTTGTGACAAGCTCCCAAAAACAAGTATTATACTGATTTTGAACATGGCCTGCCAAACCCCCGAAGGAAAAAAATTTAACAGATTCCAACTGATGTATATTGCAAAATTTGTCATTTGTTTCTCAGAAGATTTTGTGTGTTTAGAAGCATTAAAATAGTCACTCACAATCTTTTTGTCTCCATGCAAGATATGCTTGAAGAACCTCTATGGATGCACAACATACAATTCGAGAACGAAACGAAGGTGGATATCTCAACTCCTTACAGGGAAAGAATTCTTTCCACTTTGTGACATATACAGCAGAAAAGAATGATACGACGACGGATGAGACTTTGCTGCATATTCATTGAGTCATAGCCAAGTTACAAAGACTCAGTAATTCAGTAGCCATGTCAAAAACAAATGCAAAATCACCGAAACTTGCATAGGAGAAAACACTCAGCAATTCAGAATAAAAGAAAAACCTGCTTCGCCTCTGGTAAAATTTCGATGTCTTCTTCAAAACAAAACTGTACAAAAAACACATCAAAGAAGAGAATCAAATGAAGTTTCATAGATAACAGTTGAAAAACAAACCAACAATTCAATTACCTGTACTCATCGCTATATCCATACGAAAAGACAACATCAGGATACTCCTCTACAACAGCCATAGCACATTGGTTCATCAAATCTAAGGCTTTCTTATCATTTGGTTTCTCAAACTCATGAACTTGAGAAAATCTACCCAAAAGAAAAAAACCGAGTACATCAGAACTTAAATGTGTAAAAAACCACAGTTTTCTTTTCATTAACTTTCACTTACCTACGAAAATCGCGTCCGTCTATTCGAACTACGATGAGATTGGGTGGCATTACTTCGTCTTCAACCTCGAAGGACTTAACGTATTCGTATTTGCTATTAGCCATTTTCTAAGGTTTCTGTCCTCTCTCACGGAAGAATGATCGAGCACTCGGTGTGCAGTGTTCAGAGGCCAGAGAACGGAAAAGAAGCTTCCCAGTGTGTTAAAAGGCGCACTCTTTTCAAAACCAACGCTTAAATACGAAAGGTGAATTGACTTTCAGCACATGAGAAATTCGTTATCTAACTTTTTTTAAACTTGAAAAACCGGCAACTCCATGATTACAACTTACCATTTCTTAATGGTTTTTTTTTTTTTGGTTTGATTTACCTGTCGTCTCTTCCAAAGTTATGACCTGTGAAGAACCAATCGGCCATTAACGCAAGCTTCTTTGCAAACCCCAACAAGCCCTTCGATAATTAAAACCCATGATCTCTTTCTGTTTTCCCTACTCCAACAGAACATTAGTTTGAGGATCTAATCCTACCAAATGGACGAAGCGCTGCTTTCTTGAACAATAAAGGCACCATCTTTCCATCTCCTGTTACCTTTCATGCCGATAATTATCTTGGGTCCAATTTGCCCTTTCGTTGTTGGAAATTTTGAAGAGGGTATACTTTTTTTTTCTTAACATAATTAAAAATTTAAAAAAAATCCCTATTTTCAGCAGACAATTGTGTTTTTACATTAAAGAAAAAAAGAATCAACATGATAAGGATTAAGTTTTTGAGATGAACTTGCTCTAACTTCTTACAATTCCCTTGGAATCAATTGATATCGTCTATAAACTGGTAGACACAAAGCAAAATTTCTGTACAAGAGCATTGACAAACATGGCACTAGGTTTACTCGTGCCGTTGCATAATTAACATTATCATTTACAAAAACGAGCATAGAAAGTGGAGGTGCAAAACCTGGAAGAGGACCCTCCTCCCAGCCATGCCAGCAGGCACATGAAAACAAAATCTCCAAAACTTACTCATGAAGGGGGATTGATTACCTTTCAGTTTTTTTTTTTATTTGAGCTCTGACTGAACTTTCTCTCGTTTTCTGATTGGGTTGGCAGTGTCCAGGGAATATAAGCAACCTGGTTAGATTAATCACCATTCGCCAACAATGAAAGCGCAGTTGATTAACCACTGTCTTTAGCATCATTTTTGGGGTTTCCTAAACTGGAACCAGTATTTGCAATTGTATTAGCCCGACGTTTTCTTGGTTTCCTCAATGTTGGAACAGAAAGAGAACCCAAGCTGAGTTGTTCAGCCATGTCTATAGCATGTTCCTGCACCATGACTTTTCTTGTGCTTGGTGTTGTGTGCTTTAAGGGTCTGTTGAGACGATATGAAGCCAAAGTTTTAGTAGGAGGGCCTTTGCTTATTGCACTCGCTTCATTCTTAGCTTTTGAGCATGAAGTACGGCCTGATGCAGATGAATCCAAGCTCAACCATGAACTACTTGCATCCTTCCTCGGACATGTCAAACCCAGTTTCAAGAAAGGTGGGCTTCCCTTTTCAGGAACACAAATATTGCCCTGTGAGTTACAACGGGTGCTTAATTCCCATTGTTGATTATTACAATCTTCCTCTGTCACAGTTTTTCTTGTTGTAGACCCTTCGGCCTCCTACAAAAAGCAATGAAGTAGGAATTAAGGAAGAACATACAGGCAAACTCAAAACAGTACTAGTTTCTTACTTCTCAGGCAGAGAAAAAAGTGGGCAATGTCCAATTTCAGAAAAGGATCGGAAGCTATGCAGTATCAAAGCTGAGCAGCACCAAACGGTTCTCATTTGATAACCAAAAAGGTACAAAGAGGGCACAGAGAAGAAACAAATGATGCCGAAGCATGTTCTATATCCATGGCTTCCAAAAAGTAAAAACAAAGAAAGATAAGAACATTTCAAAATCAAGTGCAACAGATAATGACAGCATGAATAAAAAGCATAACGACCAAAAAGGTCCAGGGTAGCAGCCCTGTGCATAAGTGACTGATCATGTTCAACAACAGTGTGCCACAGATGAGGTCAGAATATGTGCAAAGAATGTTATAAATGAAGTAGTGTTATAAAGGGAAGTCATAACAAGAATCTCAGAAGACAGATTGTCAGGTTTAGCTCCATTATAATCAAAGCATGGCCAATAAAGACAGAAGTACAGGTTAATTAGACTTAGCATACCTAACGCTATTCCTTTCATATTTCAGAAGCAACTGAATAATAACAAACAGAAAGAGGAGAGACACCTTATCTTGCATCTCAGAAACTTGCTCACAGCCTGAACCTTCTCCTTCAGAATCAGCCATTTCCTCACACTCAAACTCCACATGTTCTTCAAACTCTTCATCTGAGTCACTCAACTCTTCTTGTTCCATCACAATCTCCGGATGAGACTGATCACTTGTATCGTCCATGTATCTGCCAGTGGTTTTGCTTGGTATAGTTGATGCACGGACACCTGAAACAAACTTGTTGCCTGATGAATGGGAAGTGTCTCGTGTTTCTGCTGCATTTTGAGAATTTAGTAAACTAACTGCTGAGTTTGCATGATGTGTAGCAGCATCCCCACTTAATGCTGCATTCTCTTTTGTAGATAAAGAACTAAGATGGATCTCCAAGTCTAGTTCATTAGCTTTCTCATTAGGGCTAGAGGGTCTAGATCTGGTGGCAAATGGGCTGCGCTGGGCCACTGACTTCATCTGAACAGCATTGGAAGGATTACAGGGTGCAACAGATTTGCCATCTATATTAACAGATAGAGATGCAGTTGAGCATTCAGTCACTAGTTCACTATTTGTATCATCAGTTCTTTGCAGGAGTGGGTGGAAGTCAATGCCACAAGATATTGAAACAGAGTCCTTCATCTTCAAAGATTTGGTCAAACTCTCAACAGAATGGCTAGTTTGCTGAGGATTGTAAAAGAGACTTAGGTTTAGTTGGGGCTGATTCCCAGAAAAGAAACTGAAAGAACTGGATGCACCAGTTCCACAGGTCAATGGATAATATGGCACTTGTCCATCTTCAGAGGCCTGGAACAGCAATGGATGCATCTGAAGATCTGTATGAGTACTTCTTTCTTCTGCAACACTTTTGTTCTTGACAACTCCAGATTCTTCAGAGCGAGAACTTGTGATGTTTGCTCTTGTTGGATTGCTTTTATGTCTTTTATTGGCCAATGCCTTAGCAGAATGAGAAAATGGAGAAACTGTATTTCCTATTCCAGCATCAACAACACCATCTCCAGTTGCAGAAACCTTGGTGTATGCTCCACATTGATTGATTTTCAGAGCAGACTCTGAGATTACACGAACAGATGGTGGAAGATTCACTGGGGGCAAGTCTGGTGCCAATTTCACTAACCGTAGGTTGTTGGATTTACGCGATCGATATGGCCGTAAACATATTTGAGATTTGGAGGCATTCCATATCATATTAGGAACAAGATGGGTTGGTTGCAATGCATTAGGTGCATGATGAGAGGTAGTGTAAGGATGCTGGGATTGGTTCAATGCATGTGGAGATCCCCGCATATGGCCAGTCAAGGGTCGAATGACTGCAGACACATGTCTATTTGATTGCTCTGTAACATGAGTCCCCTCTTCTGTTGACATATCACCAGGAAGGTTCTTATTTCTAATGTTCAAGCAAGGATGTTCAGATGAAATAAGCTTGGAAGTACCTGGCCTCCAATCAGCTAAAAACCCCTCATGAACATAAGATTCATCTACATTTTCTATGTCATCATCTCCACTGCAATTCTCTCCACCAGTATATTCAGCTTGACAGTCCTGCAGTTGAGGAAATTAAAATAATTATCTTTGAAAATAAACACTCTACCAAGCATAGCGGATCCAATCTGAGTCAAATTTTACGGTTTATAAGGTTAATGAATAAACTATAAAAAGGAATATTGCACAAACATAGATTGCATAATGTAGGTTGATATTTTATTAATTTTGTTAACATTTTAGAATCTTTACTTTGTAGTCTGAAAGTGTTATTCCAACCTGCAATGTTGACAATCAATGAAATGAGCCAAGATCAAGCTTTAGCCAAGCATCAAAGAGATCAGCTATTTCAAAGCCCAACTCTTTATACACATCAATGCACTGGTGCAACTGTTTACAAAACATTCAGATTCTCTACATAATTTTTGACATATCCACCTTGTCTTAAAGATCATAGATAGTAATCTAAAAACAAATGAAAGTGTGAAAATGTAAATGGCAATTCATGTTTCCAACTCCAAAAAAGTATACAAACCTCTTTGTCAGACACATGTTGCCAATTAGTCAACGCAGCTTTACGTTTTCGTCTTTCTGATTCATATAGCCGTCGCTTCTCTTTCTTGGTTGCATCTTGTTTATATGACTTCTGAGTTCCAAGGGCTATGCGCCATTGCCGGGGTAGCAAAGATGGATCTCTGTGTGGGACAATAAATTTCCAGACAGACATCCAGTCAAGTTTATAAACCTTGAGCCCCTGTGGATGTAAAAGTAATACTTGCAATTATAAGATTATATTAAAGGACAATGAAACATAAGTAGTACATGATCATGACAATTACCTCCTGAATACCTTGCAGCTCTTCCACAGTCAAAGGCGAGGTTTTCATTCTCCGGACTGCCTGCACAAAGTACCAAATATTTCTTACAAATTCTTACAAATAAAAAGTAAACAGGTGACCCAGGTTAATTTAGGTCCAATTTATAACCAAATATGCAAATAAAATCTTTTGAGAATCATGGCCTTTAATCAGAAGATAAGGAAAGAGGTAGAAGAAAAAGCAGTTATTGAATCAAAAATTAGAACACAACTGCAACAAATATCAACAAGAAGATATATCCATCTTAGATTTGCCCAAGATTGCTTACATACCTTTATGGGATTTTCTGGTGCTTTTGATGAACAGCGATTTTTTTGCCTAACGAAAATCTGAAACAAGTAAATTTGTCAACTGACTTAAGAACTTAATGCTTAATCGCCAAACGGACTAAAAAGTGTTGCAACTAAAGATGAGGATAAAAGATACCTGATGCTTAGATTTGCAAGGAAGATAGCGTTGCTGAATCGC